CACACACACACACCACACACACCCCACACACACACACATACACACACATACACACATACACACATACACACACACACACACACTCACACCATTGTGGCACGCAGGTATAGATAGATAGACAGACAGACAGATAGATAGATAGATAAGTAGATAGATAAACAGATAGATACATAGATAGAAAGACAAATAGACAGATAGGTAGCTAGGTAGGTAGATAGATAGACACATAGATAGATAGATACATGGATGGATGCGTGGATACATAGAGAGATAGGTAGGTAGGTAGGTAGGTAGGTAGGTAGGCAGGCAGGCAGGCAGGCAGGCAGGCAGGCAGGCAGGTAGGTAGGTAGGTAGATAGACAGACAGATAGAATGATAGATTAGTTAGATACATAGTTAGATAGTTAGATAGATTAATAGGTAGATACATAGAAAGATAGATACACAGATAGATAGATAGATAGATAGATAGGTAGATAAATAGATAGATAGGTAGATAGATAGATAGATAGCTAGATAGATAGATAGATAGATAGGTAGGTAGATAAATAGATAGGCAGATAGATAGGTAGATGGACACATAGCCAGATAGAAATGGGTAGATAGGTACACATAAATCTACACATACAAAGGCCTGTATATCTGCACATGTGAACTTAAGTTTCTGCATTTTTCTACGTCTGTGTACATAGCATGTGCATGCACTGTACATGCAACAAAAAGGCACAAACGTGTGGGCATATTTCGTAATGGTTTAATGGAGGCCGGGGCACTTGTCTTGGAGGAGGCGCGGAATGCTGTCGGCCTCCCATGCGCAAGGTCTCAACTCAAAGTTGCGCTTCCGTTCCTCCCCGACCCAGAAACCCTGAAAACTCGAGAAAGCCAAACCCTGGCTGCAAGAGTTGGGGTTTAGGGCTTCGGGGTTCAGCGTTCCAGACAAGCTGCAAAGCTTAAACCGTTATAAGCCTCACACCCAAAGTGGCATGTTGACGGCCTTGTGTGTTTTTGTGCAGCGGTCCAGCAGGCGATCGACCTCCTGTCGGATCTCCACGATGCGGGCCTGCCATGAACGAACAAATTCACCGTTTGTTGGGGGGTTGGAGGTTCAGGCTTGAGGTTTCAGGGTTAATAGGTGGGCCCTGAAATGTTGCTTGCTCTCTGCAGCTCTGAGCAAATTACTGACGGTGACCATCCTGCGATTCCAACAAGAACGAGTAGTCAATAGTCGTACCTAAACCCCTTAAAAGTAGGTAAAATACTGGCCCCAAAACCTATAAAGGGCTATTATTTTACATACTTTTGGGGTCCGGGTAGTCGTCGTCGATATCGGCAAGATGGGATCTTGGTTGATCTATGATTTTTGCTGTATCTGTCTCTCGAACAAGTGCCATTCCGCCGAGGAGATGTGTGTGTGTGTGTGCTTATCCAACTTTACGGGCAAATCCTGTTTCTAAGATTTCAGACACAGCTTTGGATGTGTATTGAGAGAGAAGGAAAAAGACTCAAAGAAAGCAGGAACGAAACGGGGATGGGGAGTGTGGGAGACAGCAACACTAGAGCAAGATGCGAAACGCAGTGGGAAGGCGATGCTACAGAAAGATTTCACAATGTAGACGGAATGTCGAGAAGTATAGAGCAGTGGCGGAGAGGTGTATATCAGCGACATCCGACAGAAACTCGCACTAAAGCCCAAAAACTCCCAGAATCTCCCTCCAACCTTTCCTTCCTTCCTCCCAACAAAAAAAAAGAAAGGGGGGCCTCGCGCAGCGTGTGCCAGAACTGGTCCGACATCAGGTTCTCGTCCACGCCCAGGTCGCCCAAGAAGGCCTCTGGTCGCAAGTAGGCGTCGATCCTTGGCCGCTGAAAATGCAGTCGGAGACAATCAGTACCCATAGGCTCCATAGTAGTTCTATACTTAGGATTCTATAAGGTAACCCCAAAAAGGAACTACTATGGAGCCTATGGGTTCGCTTTTCGCTTAGGGTCCTGTTCGGACGCAGCCTTGTGCTTGCATCAAATTAAATAGGTGAGACCGTCAGTGACCTTTCCTCCTAGCCGAAAATTCGACCGTAGTGCACCTTGCTGCAAGCCAACAGCAAACGGCGCAGCTTTCCGAATGACGCAGGAGATCGCAGGGAGGAAAAGGCAAGTGGGCACTTTGTTGTCCCATAAGTGGACAGTGCCCTGTAGCAGGTCTGAGAAGAGCCGCAACGAACACAAGGGCTCAGCGACACTGCGAAACGATTTGAGTGGGTGTGGCGGATTGAGATCGACGAGAAGTCCAGAACAGGAGAAGAACAGAAAGCCGTCAGGCAACAGGCAAGAAGCCTAATCTGACAGGCTAAAACACTGGGCTCGATCTTAAGTTGCTTGTGTGACCAATAAACACAGTCGGGGTAAGCCGCTCCAGATGGAGCAGATTCCCGGCGTGTAACACAGGCAGCAAGATCAGAGGCCGAGGGCAGTTTTGCAAAAGTATGACTAGGGACTTCAAGCCAGGGAAGCAGGACACCAGCATGCTGAAATGTTGAAGGAACTACTATGGAGCCTATGGGTACATACATACACATACAATGCATTCCTACATACATCCAGGCAGGCAGGCAGGCAGGCAGAGAAAGAGAGACAGGCAGAGACGCAGTGGAAGTCGGAGACCCACGGATAGACGGACAGGAATGCTGATTTTCTTCCTCACCTACTGACTTACTTGCTTCCTTGCTTGCCTGCCTGGTGGCTCACATGGGCCATGTGCATGATTTTCCAGGTGCATATCTACGCATGAGACATGCTGCGTCGCCGATCTTGACCCCTAACTAACCACTGAACCCAAACCCTACGAACCCTGCAACACCCAGGACCTAGGAATGCCGTAAAGCCAAAGCCGAGCGTCTTTACGCCCTTGTGGATGTCGTTGAAGAACTTCGAGGCGTCCTTCCCCGCCCAGGCGAGGATGGTCGTGGGGCCACCGGGATGACGATCCATGAACTCCGAGAGGTCATAGACCTGCAAGGATGGCTGCGTTTTTGGGGGATTGGGTGTTTTTAGGGTTTTGGACGAGTCGTGATATAACAAGCCCAGCACTTTGCTACATCCGCTTGGGTGTACACCGTGTCTTGTTCTTGACATGCAGACCCAGCATAGCCCGATCATAAACGTGCCCTACGATCTGTGTTGACGCTGTCCTGAACTCTGCTGCGAGCCCTCACTCCCGGAACTCCACACACCAAGCCCAGAACCCCAGGCACCTTGCCATTCAGAGCCACCCAGCAGTTCTCAGGCGTGCAATGACGGTTCACCTGGGCAGAAGTGCATCAGCGGTTCAGAGCGTATAGGGGCACAGCAATAGTTAAAGTTGATCTTAGTATAGGGGCCTCAATAATTACCTGTACTATTTGGGTGGGTTCCTTGTTATAAGTTATAATAATCGTACAATAAACCCCCAAAAGCCCTAGTCTAATTATTAAGTTTTGGCTGTGGTAAGAGTAAGCATCAAAGGTTTAGAGCTTCCAGGGCGCTTCGGCTTTCGAATAGGTTAGGCCGACCTCAAGCAAGCCCAAGAGGCTTCCGAAGAGTGAGGTTCAAGCCCAACTCCTAAACTCCTAGACTTAATAGGACCTTACCCTTAAAGGAACCCTTTTAAGGACCAGGGTAAAAGGAACCCTTTAAAGGAACTCTTTTAAAGGAACCCTTGTAAAGGAACCCTTTCTAAAGGGACCCTTTAAAGGAACCTTTAATTGGGCTCTACTGCTTACTTCTTCTAAGGTTCGCCGTCAAAAGGCCTTTCAGGCTTCGGGGCCTTGGCTAAAAACACTGAATCCTGCACTCTACCTATACTCTTCCATGTGGCTTAGTCTTTTGGGGGGTTGGGTTTTGGGTTTAGGGTTTGGGGTTCAGGTTTTGTGGTTTTGGGTTTAGAGTTTAGGGTTTCGGGCTGAGGGCTTTCGTAGGGTTCTAGCGAAGCTACTGGCTAACCACAGCCCTATATAAACTCGTCCCTGAACCATATGGACCCTTAAGAACCTCCCTGTTTTCTACAAACCCAACTGAGCCTTATATCGACGAGTCCCTGAACCATATAGTTACAATCAAGCCCACATAAGCCCTGAGCACCGGCCTCAGAGAGTGGGATGTTCTTGGAGATGGCGGAAGTGCCGGGCTCGTGGATCACTCTCTGCTTGAAGTCAGGGACCTCTGAGCAATCAAGATGTAGGGCTTGGTGTTTTAGAGGCTTAAAAACTCTTGAGGTGTAGAGTTTGGGATGGAGATATAGGTTTAGGACAAAGGGATCCATCGGGTTAGGATGAAAGCAGTTCGGATCTGCAGCTTATTTCGGACTAATTTCGGAAGCCCTGGCTTGGAAAGTCCGGTTGCAGATTCTCGGAGCAGGATGCGGGACTTCAGAGAACAGGGGGGGGCCCACAATGCAGACCTAATGGCAGGATCCTTAAAAGAAACAAGGACAAGGACAGAAGGGAGCCCAACATCCCAACATTAAGAAGCCCTCATGCCCTCATGCTGCTATCCCGATCAACCTGAAACTCCATCCTAGCGGCTTGCAAACGAAACACACACACACACGTACACACACACACAGAGACAGACAGACACAGACGCCCCCACACACACACACATATGCGCACGCACACCCCTGAACACACAAAGCTACACCTCCCTGTAATCTCCAGGCCTACCACGCCACTGTCACTGTCACATGCTCGGATTGTTGGGGCGTCGTTATTCTTCAGGGCTCAGGGTTTAGAGTCTACATAGTAACAAGGGCAGAGGGTAAATTAGTATAACATAATAGATTAAAGTAGAATATACCATACCATACTAGACTATACGGGAATATACCATAACATGCTGATATACTCTAGTATACCATAACAAATTATAACAGACTGTAATAGACTATAATCTACTATGACTATAACCTATCAAAGATGGCACAACACATGTTGCCACGGCACGCTGGCTGGGTGCTCGTCGGTAGGCTTGGCTGCCATGATCGTGGGTCACAGGAGCTAAGCGAAATAGCAAGGGCTGTGCGTGAAGCGCAGGAGACTTCAATTGCTGCGGCGATCAGAGTTTTTTTGGGTTTCGGACTGTTGTAGGGCTCAGGCTTTCAAGCTTGAGAACTGCAGGGTTATAGGGTCTAGGACCTAGGCTTTTCGCATAATAGTCTTTATGTTGTTTTGTCCGCATGGGTTTTTTCGTCTTAGGCTTTTCTAAAAGCAGACTTCGCCATCCGACTTCAGGGCCTTGGCAAGCCGTCCCAGCCTTTCCAAGGACTCAAGGCTGAAGGACTCACATTGGGCAAAGAATTTTAACTTAGAGAGCTGCCCCCATGTGCAGCCAGCTGAGTCAGACTCCCTGAGGCCCGAGGCCCCGCGCTAACCTGCGCTAACAGCTCAGCACTGTGCCAGTCGCGATGCAGGAGCAAGCTTTTTTTCGATGCTGATATACGCTGAACGAAGCTGTGCTCTCAATGACACGCCAGATTCCGTCGCGCCACGAACGCCTGGTGGACATGTCTTTGAACTTGAGCTCGGGTCGTCAGGTACAGCAAGCCGACACCTTAAAGGTGTCAGCTTGCTGTACCTGACGACCCACTTATTCACCCACCCGAAACATGATGGCTTCGACTGTGCATGTGACCGTCTTGAGAAGCCGACTGTTAAAAAGGGTGACTGACAGAAGCAGTTCTTCCTCTCCTCCTGTCTGGTGATGACGGATGCATCTTAAATGAAGGGGGAGACCTTGCGAACGACGCCCCTGCCCCGAGAGTAGTGGTAGAGGATGTAGCCCAGGTGGAAGGGCAGCCAGGCGTACTGCAGCACCTTGCCCAGGACCTTG